TTTTTGAAGGATTTTAAGTGTACAATTTTTGAAAACGTACCTACTCACTTAGCTTTGGATTTTATAACACTGTTATTAATATTTGTTTTTCTGTAATCGCTAAGAACGACTAGAGACCATGGAGCGACGCGAAATTTTAGATTTTAATATGCGGAATTTGACACAAAAACTAACTGAATTAGGGTTAGTGACTACAGGACGTTAGTCGATATTGCAAGACAGACTGCTCGAGCATATAGCCTGACTGCTGACGGTGATGAAGATGATGATGTTGCTTCAAGTGTGATCCATAATCCGACACATGAGCGAGCTACGTTCACCCTGCGCGATATAGTAGATTCGTTGTCAATGTTTAATGGCTCCGGCTCACCGTCGATAGAGGACTGGTTAGAAGAGTTTAAAGAAAATGCTATCGCAGTTCACTGGAATAGTTTACAGAAATGTATTTATGCTAAACAGTTGTTAAGGGGAGCAGCCAAAATATTTGTGCGAAGCCAACGTGGTGTTACAGATTAGAGCTCATTAAAGCAAGCACTAAAATCTGAGTTTGGTATTGTGGTGTCATCCATTGAAGTACAAGGCATGCTTAGGAACCGTCGAAAGCGTCAAAACGAGTTACCGCGGATACCTTTACAATCTAATAGAGATTGGGAAACCGATTGAATTAGATGAGTTGAGTTTAGTAACATATTTTATCGAAGGCATTCCTAATTCTAATGCCAACAAGAGTAACTTATATCAGCAGCTTATACCAGCTTAGCATATATATATACAGTAAATAGCTCAGGTTCAGTTCGTTCAGGTGAAGCAAGCAAGCCGTCTACTGGTTTGGGTAACAAGAAAGATCAAACAAAACGTTGTTTCAAGTGCGGAAATTTTTCGCACATCGCCAAAGATTTCAGTCAAAAATAAATGAAATGTTTCAAATGCGGTCAGGCAGGGCGCCGTGCCGTAGATTGTCAGGGGCAGCAAGTTGAGGTTAAGAAGGAAAAAAGTAATGTAAATACGTTGAGGAAACAGGGAAAACAGGAATTTGGAACAGGAGGGTGCATCTTTAAGGATATAGCCCTTGGGTGAGCGACATTTTCTGCTTTAATCGATACCGGATGTGACCTTTACTTAATTCGTCGCGATGTTTTGTTGTTGTTAAATGACATCGAATTAAGCAACGACAAAAGAACTTAGTAGGCGTAGGAAATGCCAGACTAACGACGTTAGGTAGCTTCAAAATTATGGTGGTGGTCGACAGTATGGATCTTGAAGTCATTTTCCATGTGACATGCGATATTCAGCAGTGATTGGTGCCAGTGTGTTGAAATTGGTTGACTTGGTTGTATCAGAGGGTTCGGTAGAATTTAAGGAGAAAGTTGACAAGGCTGAGGCAAGTCAGACAGGAGAAAAAGGTTCGAATGCAGTCGTGGCCGGAAGTTGCTTAGTTTCGGACGAAGCTGAGGGGAGGTATACAGAGCTTGAGGCAGAGTTTAAAGAGTTATGGCAAGTTGCCGTGGTTGAAGAAGCTAGGGAACCAGATATTGACTTATGCCACCTCCAACCATTAGAAGCAAGTGCAGTCGAGGTGTTGATTAAAAATGATGCACCCGTAAGAAACCAGAAATCACCTGTTGAAATGAAGATCGTGTTGACTGACGATTATCCCGTTCACGAAGGCCCTAGACGCATTTCGTACGTTGACAAGAAAGTGGTAGAAGAACAGATACCGGAGTGGCTACAAGAGGGTATTATTCAACCCAGTACATCGGAGTACGCTTCGCCCATTGTACTTGTTGCCAAAAAAATGGATCAAAAAGGCTTTGCTGTGACTATAGGCGTATCAACAGCAAGATTATGAGGGATAACTTTCCGATGCCGTTGTTAGACGACGTCATTGAGAGGCTACAGGAGGCTAAATTATTTACGACATTGGGTTTGGCAAGCGGGTTATTTTATGTACCTGTCGAAGCGAAATCCAGGAAGTATACGGCGTTCGTTACACATAACGGGCCGTACTAGATTCGATATGTGCCCTTTGGGATATCAAACTCACCTGCTGTATTTTCGAAGTACATTGCTACGGTTTTGAGGGATATGGTGATGGTATTGCTTACATGGATGTTCTCATTATTCCCGCTAAGGATGTAAGTGAGGCCAATAAAATGGAGTAAATGTCAATTTCTAAAACGGAAAGTGGACTTTTTGGGTTATATTATAGAAAATGGAACTATAAAAGCATCCGAAGCAAAAACTAGGGCGGTGGAGAATTCCCCTATTCCGCGAGATCGAAAGGCAGTACAGCGCTTCCTGGGGTTGACATCTTATTTTAGACGTTTCACTGAGGGTTATCCAACCATCGCAAAACCTCTTTCAGACCTTTTACGAAAAGACGCTCAGGTTTTACTTGAAGCAGACCAGTTAGCAGCTTTTCAGCAACTAAAAGAAGCACTAGTGAAAGCTCCGGTTCTACGTCCGTACAACCCAAAAGCGTTGACAGAGGTTCATATGAATTCATCTATGCACGGATACGGTGTTCTTCTTCAAAAGGACTCTGACGATCAGCTTTTCTACCGGGTACAGTACAGCTGAAGAAAAGTACCATTCATATGAGTTGGAGGTACTTACTATTGTAGCAGCTTTGAAAAAGTGGAGGGTGTATTTGTTAGGCATAAGCTTCACGATAGTGACAGATTGTAACGCTTTCGCTATGATGATGAAGAAAAAGGACATTCCACTAAGAGTTTCCCGTTGGGCGTTATTTTTACAAGATTTTAACTACCAGATAGAACACAGAAGCGGAAGTAAGATGAGGCATGTAGACGCCTCAAGTCGAGTTTGTTGTTTGATGTTAGAGGATTCGCTACAGCACAGACTGCGTCAGTCACAGTAAATGGATCCTTGGGTGAAGGCGGTTATTAAAGTTCTCGAAAAAGACAATTAGGAAGACTTTTTCGTGAAACACGGAGTGCTCTCTAAAGATCCCACTAAGGAACTTATAGGCGTACCTATTTCTATGGAAGATGAGATTATAAAAATTGCCCACGGCCAGGCCATTTCTCGCCGAAAAGCACGCAAGATGCAATGGAAAAGTCGTTTTATATACCACAGTTGTTAGCGAAAGCATCAAGAATAGTAGAGTTGAGTAGCTTGTATCATTACTGAGAGTATGTCAGGGAAAAATGAAGGATTACTAAGGCCGATAGACAAAGAAGATAGGCGTTTAGGGACGTACCACGTTGACCATGTAGGGCCGATGACAGAACGCGAACCACTGCAGCAGATGGGGTTGTAGATCAGTTAAAGCGACAGGCAGCAATATTCGGGAATCCAAGCCGCATTATAACGGATCGGGGCGCTGCATTTACGTCTCATTTATTTTCTGAAAATTGTGAGCATACAACACTTAATGATTGCTACTGGTGTTCCGAGGGGCAATGGCCAGGTGGAGCGCATCCACCAAATTTTGTACCACTGCTATCTAAGTTGTGTGTCGAAAATCCTACCCAGTGGTACAAGCATTTAGATAGAGTGCAACAAGCGATTAATAATACGCCACCTAGAAGCACGAAAGTTTCACCCTTTGGGTTGTTGACAGGGACTGAGTGAGGTATCAGATTTGAAAGAGGCAGCGATCGAGGAATTGGACAGGGAAAGAGAATCTCTGCACGAAGAAGTGCAAGATAATATTAACAAGATCCAACAAGAAAATCGACGTAATTTCAAATAGAAACGGAAACAAGAAACAAAGTACCGAGTAGACGAATTAGTTGCCATTAAGCGGACTCAATACAGTGCAGGACTTAAGCTGAAGCCGAAGTATTTTCGCCAATACAAGGAAAGGAAAGTTTTATCTCACGGTAGATACGAGGTTGGTGAGCATGAGGGCCCTGGACACACATCAACCATTGCAGAACATATGAAACGGTGGGAACAAGCAGCGAAATCATACGGCAAGACATCATTCGAGCCGAATGATGAGTCAGGAGGGCCGAATGTGGAATTGGTGTGCCGGACCAGAAGTGGTCGGCAATACACCCCTGACAGAACAACGCGCAACCCCAATACAACCCTGACCGAACAACTAACAACCCCGCCCGAACAACGCGCAACCCTAACTAGACGAACTTTAAACGAAACACAAGCCAACTGAATTCAGTTCAGTTGAAGTTTTCCGTGTGTCGCCGAAGCAAAAGGTCGCCTAGTCGTTGCTGGCGGGTTGATATTAAAACTTCAATAAATTTGTATTTGTTAATGTTATTGTGGCTTATTAAGAGGGCATTTCCAGCAAGCCCTAAATGCAGTTTATGCCCATTGGAAAAACGAGATTATCCCTCGAACGGGGTAATTGGTCATATTAAGCACAAGCAAACGAAAGTGTGAAAGCAAAAAGTAATAAATAAACATTGCCAATTGCCTTATGTTAAAATAACTGGTACTTATCTGAGCTGTTAACTGCAGTTAAGCTTTTGGTGGAAGTAGGCTATTTTTAATCTTTTTTTTTGAGCTTTGTACCACGATTGTTTATTAGTAAAATTGAAAAAGTAACAAAGTCTAAGGGATAGAAGTTATAGCAGCTATTTCGGAGATCACCACATCTCCTCATCAGATTTCTTTTTTCTAGACTTCAGCAGGGATCGAACCTGCGTAATCAATGTGTAAAGTCAGAAGCGTTAACCACTGAACTATGTACCCTCGTAAATGTTAATGTTATTGTGGCTTATTAACATTTTATTTTTAATATTTTTTTATTGAGCCTTGTACCACAAAATTGACTTGTTGCTTTTTCAATTTTCCTAATAAACAATCGTGGTACAAAGCTCAATAAAAAAATATTCAATAAATTTGATTTAAGTACAGATAAAAGCAATTCAAGTCCACTTAATATATTTGATTCATATTTTAATTATACCAACTAAAATAATACGCTAAATATTAAACTAGTGTGTTTGATGTCCTGACGGAGGTGGGGCTCATACAATAAGCCGCAACATTTATAAAGCATTACTTACGTTCTGGGTAATTCGGTGTACAACGCTTAATTGTTCTTCTTTTGCTGCTTCACTTTATAATCAGCCAGTGCTGCCTTTATAGCGTCCTCAGCCAGCATAGAGCAATGTAGTTTTACTGGAGGCAAGCATAGCTCTTTAGCTATGTCGGTATTCTTTAGTTTTCCGGCCTCGTCTATAGTTTTGCCTTTGACCCATTCCGTAGCTAAAGAACTACTAGCAATGGCAGATCCGCAACCAAAGGTCTTAAATTTGGCGTCAACAATTTTACCGTTTTCATCTACTTTGATTTGCAGCTTCATGACGTCACCGCAGGCAGGCGCACCAACTAAGCCGGTACCCACGCTTTGGTCTTTCTTGTCCAGTGAACCTACATTCCTTGGATTCTCATAGTGCTCGACAACCTAAAAATAAATATTATTTTTTAACGATATTTCGATAAAGCAATTAACTCTCATATACACTTTGTGGGTTTTTGTAACATATACAGTGACGAACAAAAGTATTGGCCCAGTGAATTTTTCGCCATATATGCTAAGTTTTTTATTCTAATTTATTTTCGATATTTTTTTATAAAAATATAGTTAATTTTACACCAGAAAACGTAATAATAAAATCTCTAAACTTTGTGCAAAACTCAGGAAAATTCTTTAAATTTGCACACTAATTTGCAACTTTTTATTCAGATTTTTTAAAAAAGTATGCAGTTTTATAGCCTATTCAAATTTAGTATAACAAAGTGCAAGCTTAAAGTTGCTAGAAAATCGCGTTGATTTTTGGCATTTTTTTTAGTGGAAGGTGTTGCTCATTTTCTCCATACAAAAAATAATTGTCGAATTACTTTGTATGGAAGAACTTGCGTGAAAAAAATTACCAAAAATCAATGCGATTTTCTAGCGACTTCAAACTTACACTTTGTTATACTAAATTTGAGTGGGCTATAAAACTGCATACTTAGAAATCGGAATAAAAAGTTGCAAATTAGTGTGCAAATTTAATGAATTTTCCTGAGTTTTGCACAAAGTTTAGAGATTTTATTATTATGTTTTCTGGTGTAGAATGAACAATATTTTTATAAAAAGTTATCGAAAATAAATTAGAATAAAGAACTTTGCATATATTGCGAAAAATTCACTGTGCCAATACTTCTGTTCGGCACTGTATTTCCCCATGCTCTTGCTATCCTAGTAGAGACCGAAAAAAGTAATATTTTGAAGACTTTTTTGGGAGTATAACAAAAGAAATGGGAACTCAATTTATTTTTTTTTTTTCGGTCAAGGATACAAAATTCTTACTGACTATGCTATCTAAAAAAGTAACAAGATCAGAGTAGTTAAGATTAACGTTTTTAACACCACTCCGGGAAGCGATATATCAATATCCTCGATATCATTGAGTTTATTAATCTCTCTAAGGGCACAACAAATCGGTGAATTCATAGCATACATTGACATGGAGGAATGCAATAAAAAATGCCCATGTGCCGCAAATTTCTTCGCGGACCACTGAGAGGAATTCTCCGTAGGATAACAGGGCAATCAACAAGGGGCAAGGAAATTGCGCAAGTGGAAACTGTGCATTTAGACATTATTTCGGTTTCAACCGAAACTGTGCATGTATCCTTTATTTCGGTTTTTGCCATATGCATTATTTCGGTTTCGAACCGAACCTGTGCATACATGCATTATTTCGGTTTTTGTTATATGCATTATTTCGGTTTTCAACCGAAACTTTGCATGTATGCATACCTTCGTCTTTCACATATGCATTATTTCGGTTTTCATCCGAAACTGAGAAGTTCTGTGCAAAGAAGAGAGAAGTTCTGTGCAAAATACTTCCGCCCTTCTTTTCTGGCAACACAGAAAGGAGAGTTCTTTTTAGTAAGGGTTATAATCCCCAGGCGCGGCCGAAGGCCACCTACGCAGAAAGAAGTTCTACGCAAAAATACTTCCGGTCCCCTTTTCGGGCAAAACAGAAAGGAGAATTCTAATCAGTAAGCGATATAGTCCCTAAGCGCGGCCGAAGGCCGCCTACGCAGAAAGAAGTTATGCGCACGAATACTTCCGACCTTCGTTTCCGGCAACACAGAAAAGAGAGTTCTACTTAGTAAGGGTTATGATCCCTAAGCGCGGACGAAGGCCGCCTACGCAGAAAGAAGTTCGGTTTCATGTATGCACTATTTCTTTTTTTGTCATATGCATTATTTCGGTTTTGAGTCGAAACTGTGCATGTTTGCATTACTTCGGTTTTTGTAATATGCGTTATTTCGGTTTTCAAACGAAAGTGTGCATATACAGTGAAACCCGCTTAAGTACCCCCAAGCGACCCCCCTTAAGTACCTAACCAGCTTAAGTAACCAACATTTTTGGACACCGTGAATTTTTTAATATAATCAGAAGAAAATCCATCTCTTAGGTACCTCCACGCTTTTTTAGCCAACCCGCCTAAGTACCTCAATTTTTCGTGCCCCATTTGCAATTTTACTTATAATTTCCCCCTTTTAAGTGCTCTTTTAAAATTCTTTAAAATATTTACGTGTTTTCAAATTCAGTAGCAGCGCTACACACCTTCGGTAAAAAAAAATCTAAAAAATCAACGGTATCTTTTAGACACTTAGTAAGGGTTATAATCCCTAAGCGCGGCCCAAGGCCGCCTACGTAGAAAGAAGCTCTGCGCAAAAATACATCCGCCATTCGTTTCCGGCAACACAGAAAGGAGAGTTCTTTTTATTAAGGGTTATAATCCCCAAGCGCGGCGAAGGCCTCCTACGCAGAAAGAAGTTCTGCGCAAAAATACTTCCGGTCCCCTTTTCTGGCAACACAGAAAGGAGAATACTAATCAGTAAGGGATATAGTCCCTAAACGCGGCCGAAGGCCGCCTACGCAGAAAGAAGTTCTGCGCACAAATACTTCCGACCTTCGTTTCCGACAACACAGAAAGGAGAGTTCTACTTAGTAAGGGTCATAATCCCTAAGCGCGGCCGTAGGCCGCCTACGCAGAAAGAGGTTCTGCGCAAAAATACTTCCGGTCCCCTTTTCCGGCAACACAGAAAGGAGAATTCTACTCAGTAAGGGATATAGTCCCTAAGCGCGGCCTAAGGCCGCCTACGCAGAAAGAAGTTCGGTTTCATGCATGCACTATTTCTTTTTTTGTCATGGGCATTATTTCGGTTTTGAGTCGAAACTGTGCATGTTTGCATTACTTCGGTTTTTGTCATATGCGTTATTTCGGTTTTCAAACGAAAGTGTGCATATATGTATGCATAATTTCAGTTTTTCTAATATGCATTATTGCGGTTTTCAAAAATGTGCATATATGCATTATTTCGGTTTTTTTCATATGCATTATTTCGGGTTTCAGCCGAAACTGCATATATGCATTATTTCGGTTTTTTTTTCATATACATTATTTGGATTTTTTTCATATGCATTATTTCGTATGCATAGTTTCCATATGCACAATTTCAGGGTGCCATCAACAACCCCAGTAAGCACGTTGAAGATAAACGAGCAAGATAATAACTTTCTCCTATCCTCAAGTGAGTTTAATTTTATAAGCGAACAGCGCGAATTGTATGAAGGTAACGGTTCAGTAAAATTTAGAGATCTTAATGCAAACCTAATAAAAGTCTTTTGCACACGCTAAGTTCTGTTTATGTGCCCAATATGAAAAGGTGGCCAAATATTGGCAGCATACTCAAGGCGAGACCTTACAAAAGCTATGTATAGGGTTTTTTATGTAAATGGATCTGAAAAGTCAGAGCTATTACGTCGAACAAAGGCTAACAATGAATAGGAGTTAGATATAATGAAATCAATATGGCTAGTGATAACACTTATTAATATTCATACTAATACAGTTTCTCTCACACCAAGACGTTACCCTGTTAAGATCAGACTTAAGATAAAAGGCATCTTCAGCATTTTTTATAACAGAATAAACTTTGAGATCATCTGCATACATTAGGAACTTATATCATTAATGAAAATTACAAACAGAAGGGTGCCAAGAATACTACCTTGGGGGACTCCAGAGCTCTCATGGAAGTAACGGGAAAACGTATTTTCTAGTGCTACAGCGCAGTGCCTATTGTATAAATAAGAGCTAATCCAATCAAGAAACTTTGAATGGAAACCCAGACAAGCTAGTTTAGCGATCAAAACTTTATGTGAGACCTTGTTAAATGCCTTGGAAAAGTCGGTATATACAGTATCGACTTGGTACCCAGACTCGAAACTCGCAAGGCAATCTTCGGTAAAGATAGTGAGCCTTGAGACGGTAGACAAAACCGTGCTGTTCGGGCAAATTACATTCTGGACAGCGTGCCACATTTGATCCTTCACAATACTTTCAAAAAGTTTGGCAACTGTGGTTAATTTAGCTATTGGTCTATAATTCGAGACATCATTTTTTTCCACTTTTGAGAATCGGAGTAATATATTTTTTTCCAATCACTAATGACTGTTGCCGAAGTTAAAAATTATTGTCAAAGGTCTAATAAGAGCCACGCAGTTTTTGTAAAGAAATGGAGATAGCCCATCCGCACCTGTTTGAGTCGATGCCTTAAGGTTTAAGATGCCCTTTGAAATATCCTCTTCTGTTAATGACAGGAAACCGAACGACTGACATGATTCAGAAACATCGAACAACAACTGTGTCAGTCTCGGATACAAAATTTTCGCTAATAAAGTCTGCAAAAAGATTCGACGTATCTTGGGCATTATAAGCATTATTTTTTTTATAAAACATCGAACATGGAATATTAGATTTCTTTTTTCTTTTTTGTTTAGTGAAAGACCAGAAAGCTTTGGGATTGGTCTTTATATTCTTTTCGAAATTACTAACGAAGCTTCTACGCAGGAACTGATCAAGAGTCTTAAAATCCAACAGAGAAAATTTTGTACATGTCATGATAAAGTATATTCTTGGATGACTTAAATTTTTTATACAATCTATTGCAGCGATTTTTACTCGATTAAGCTCTGCATTGTACCATGGTAGCTTATATCTTTTTTTAGAGTAAACTGGGATATGTTTAAGACACAAATTATGCACCTTCGTTTTAAAAAGTTGAAAGCAACCTACTACATCCTCGTTTAGGAACAGATGGTCCCAATCAATCTCAAGCAAAATATTATTAAAAGTCGCATAATTACCAAAGTTAAAATTTAAATTATTTATATCACTCCCAGGAGAGGCATTCAAGAATTCATAAAATTCCAAATCTAATTCTAGAGGAAGATGATGCAGGCCAACAGAAGACATTAACGAGAAACATTACCTGAGTTTAAAATTCAAATTACTTGATAAGAAAATTAAATCTAAAATTCTATTAAACTTATTATAATAACTATTAACTTGACGAAGATCTAAGCTAGCGAAATTGTCAACTAAGTATTGCTCG